AAAGCAGGGATAGCTTCTGCATGTCTCCTACAGACTACCCTGGGAGAATCTCAGCCCTTGCATACATGGTGGGATTTCTTTACTGAATCAGGTTTTCAGCTGAAGCTGCTAACCGTCGACGTCTGTCAGACTTTGGTTGTCATGTGAACCCCGTGGGGAAAATACCTGGCGAGGCACAGTGTGTGCGCCAGAACTTGGCCACGACAGGAAGGCGAAGAAGGCACCAGGTGAGGTCAGGAAAGGGATGAACAGGGCAGCGTGGGACAAAAACGTTACCCAGCCTTATATACGAATATTTTATAAAATGAATACATAGTTCTTCGTTATTTACAGTATCTTTAACATTTGAGTTCTGCAGGGAATTGCTTTTCTTTTGATAATTAGAATCATAATTTTTCCCATTGTGTGCTAAGAAGAGAACTGCCATGTGATCTCTTTGAGTGTAAAGAACTGTGCCATATTCATCTCTACATCTCCAGAAATCTTGCCACAGGACCCAGGTTATATTAGGCTTGTTAAACTTGACCAAGCTCCTGAATATCATCGAATCCACATTAGAAATGTAAGGATTTTTTAAAAATAATTTTCAAGTTCTCAAACTTCTTAAAATACTGTTCTTAGCAATCCACATAATCAACAATGGCAGCCTAAGGTCTACAACTTATTACAATGTAAATCTTTCTTGTTCTATTCAATATGCATGTGAAGTAAACATCTTAGTAATGGACATCTAAGTATTACTATATAAAGAAATATTACACAGGACACTTTTGTATTAAATAAAAGCATATCATAACTGTTTTTCTACACCAAAGTTATCATAACAACAATTACCTGGATAATTAAAATTAAAATAAAAACCAGACTTTCTTTTTACAAATAATGGACATACATTTAATTTGATTTACTGCCGTATATATTTTACATTTCTCTATTAAATAATTGTCATAAAATTACATAATTATATAAGTTGTATAATAGAGCCCAGTGCTTCATTTTACCTGATGAAATAAAATATAACCACTTATCTATGCCATGTATCTTGGGCACATTTTATTTCTATAGACATTATCATAGAACTTCCCATATGATGTTATTAAAATTTAATTGTGGATTCCTCCAGACCTATAGCAGGATAATACATTTCTAATAGTTAAAATGTAGTTTTATTTTACTGGATATATACTTTGTTTTTAGGAATCCAATCTATCAAAAGTCTAATCAATCCAGAAATAGTTTTAAAAGAAGAGGAATGAAAAATACTCATAGATTTGTCTTTATGACTGAAAGACTTCGAGAGAAAAGCAGGGGTTAAAAATTATCCTTTTACCACCCACAAACCCATAGATTTTGAGAGGAGGCTCTTTTAATACTTTTTTCTTACTGCAGTATTTGTTACTTAAGGAAGTCTGTAGGTGGATAAGATGTTATTATCCCTCCTACACACACCCTTTTTCGTATTTACAACATTAAATCTCCATATATATATATATAAGTACGAGAAGCTCCAGCCCCCTCCGTTCAACTTTCTGAAATTTTTGACATTTGGTCCACACGATACCATACATTATCATTTTATAGAACACATATGTAGTAAATTATAGTTTATCCTGATTTTTTTTCAGTTTTCAGTCTATCCAAAAAGGTTATTTGCTATAGATAGCAAATTTGCTGCCTTTCCAACTAAACATTTTTGTTTGAAAACAGAACTCCATAAACAGCAAATCTTAGGTTCAAAGCGAATAATCTAGTATTATTCTTTGTACTGATGGGTTTTCTTAAGCACTTAAAGAGAATGTAATCACTGAAATGGGAAAAGTCAAGATTTTTATGCAGCATTTGTTTCTTATTACTCTACAAATGACCTTTATGCATGAATACACATTTGCAGAACACTGTGAACATGGTTTACCTAAATAAAGTTAGCCCTCCAAATTGTTTCATTTGAATAAATAGATCGACAGTTAAATATTTTAAAGCTTCCTATAAAATCTATACTAACAAGTTAATATAAATTTTATGAAACCTTTATAACCCTTTTGTATTGTAGTAAAAAGGTTCCCTCAAATGCAGTAAATAACAGGCATGCTCTTAAGCAAATACGTTCAACTTAAATTATTTTTTAAATAATCAGATCTAATCTTCATTGCTAATGCAATATTCATTCATTTAAAAAATATAGACCAACCTAAAAAAGTAAAAATTGATATATTTTAAAGCAATTTTGGATTTGGAGGTTTAATGATATCCTTTATGATAGTCACACATATAAGAGTTTTGCAAATAAATTTGTTCACTTCAGTATTCAGATCAATGCACTCCAGTTGGGAATTATATTAACTTTTGTTAAAATAAATTAAAAGCATAACCACTAAGCATCAAAAGTGCTTACAAAGATGCCTTAATTATTAATTATGTACACATTATTGAGAATACATCCTATAGAGATCAGTTAGAACAATCACTAGTTAGAACAATTACTAGTTAACCAATCCCAGTGATTAAATTAACCAATTCAATAACTTCTGGTTAATTCAAAGGAAACATTCTAGCTCCTCTGATACCTTGGAGATAGGGCCTCTGTCAGAATACAAAGGCAAGTCCATCCTCTGTACAGCAGAGGTAGTGAGTCAAATATATTTCATGTACAATACAATGTACATGTGAATTGGAATTGAGCAGGTCATTCTAACCTAGGTTTTCAGGTTCAAGTTATTAAGCTTTTTTGCATCTTGTAATGTAGTAAAAAATTAAAGAAAATTAAATGCATTAGTATTTCAGAGCAAAGTAACAGAAAGAGTAAAAAAAAAAGTAATTCAGTTAAAACTGTTCAGTCTCTTATTTAAAAAACAGTTCATGCCACTAGAAGTAAATATTCATTACCACAATTTTCAGAACAGCAACTATTTTAAAAGCACATAATTCAGAAGTAAATGGGCTATATGCTTTTTTTCTAAAGCAATTATCTCTTAAGAAGTTGCTTCCCCCCCCCAAATTACTATAAAGCACCTGTAATTGAAAGGAAGAGTAAAAAGAACAAAAGGAGAGGAACATAAGGAAAAGAGTGTTTCCAACTAATGCATAAAGTTTAAGTTATAAACATCATATTCATGAGATTTAAATTATTTTCTAAACAAATTACCTTATTTGGGTGACAGGATAGCATAATGAGTGAAATATTTCAATATAAAATGCAACAACAAAGAGTGAGGTTGACTTTACTTTCACTTGTATGTGCTAATTACAATGAATGAAAGCTGGAAACTAAACATAAACAATGTCTTATTGTTAAAAAATAAATAAAATTTTTAAAATGATGGATGATATGATAGGAGACTCAAACAGAAAAAAGTACAATATGATGTTTTAACAGAAAGAGCAATGAAGACATTCTGTGTCTTGTAATCTGTTTTGTTTTGCTTACAAAGACTCTAAAAAATTAACAGGACTTAAAAAAATTAACAAGATTTGTTTCATGAAAAGTGGAAGAGCTGAAGCTCAACACAATATCTGCAAAATTAGGTAGTCTACACATAAAACTAAATAGCTGGGAAATAGAATTTTTCATGGAAATTATTTCCTTATAAAAGCAATACTTTAAAAATTGATTAATTTCTTAACATTCTAACAGTGAAACACCTAGTCAAAGAACTATCTTCTTTCTTTTTTTATTTCTTTAAGATTTAATTTGCTCTTCTAAGTTCTTCTTTTCAAACTGTCAGAGAAACTTTCTTAAAAATACTATATTAATCAAGGGAGAGAAAAAAATTCAGAACTCAATTTCTTAGAAGTAGTGAAAGACTACCCTTACATCAAATGATTGTCCAATGTCATGTAATATTAAATACATTTTTTGCTCGCCTGTTACCAAATCTTGACTCTTGTTTAGTTTTAGTCTTCATGGGGAAAAAAAAAAAAAAGTCCTTCAATATGCTGCTCTAATTGTGTTCTCTGGGTATTGCTTATTTGAACTACTTAAGCCTTTCATTACATAAGGCTACTTGATAATTTTAATGTGTTGCCTGAACTAGATAAGGTATGCAGTAGAGAGCTGACTTTCCTGAACCCAAGGCCTTCTTTTCTTTATGTTATCAAACTCTGCAGTTAAAAACTAAAATTTAATTGGAAACATACATTTAATCATTTTATACTCCTTAAACAAAGCCATGAGGATATTTATGTTTTTAATCATTCTCTTCTTATTGTTCCTGTTGACATTATATCTACTTAATTTTCTTCCTGGACATAAAGGTGGAATTTTGTTTGATTTCATTTGAGAAAGCATTTTGGGAAATTTACAATGAAGTTTCAATCTATAAGTAAAATCTTGTGAGTTAAGTACATCGGATCAAATTTTTAAAGTTTCTGGCTCTCTTATCTTATATACTTCCTTAAACACACAATTAAATAATTAAAACATATATGTATCTTGTTTTAGTAAAAATCATATGTATTAAATTAATCAAAGAAGATACTATCCTATTTTCATTGTTCTAAGTTTTGTTTTTTACTTTCTTTTTATGAGCTCAATCTCCTTCAGTTTCAAATTATTAACTTGATAATTCAGACCCCGTTTACAAGATAGTTATGTATGTGTCAATATTAACACCTGGTAATTGATAGCAATATTATTTCTTTAAAAAACAATATTTAAATGATTTTCTCATGAGTTCTTTTCGAGCCTGCCAAATATGCTTGAAATCTTCTGTTAGGAAATTTTGACATGCATATCTATCTCAAAGGTAACTCAGACACAAACAAATAAATAAACAATGAAGAGAAGATGCAGACAGAATTCTTAAGTATAATTCATAACTATATCAAATAATTTGCATAGTATATACATTCACTTAATAAGGAGAATGATATCTTGTTTTCTCCTTTCCTAAAATGCAACTTGTAAATTCCTCTTCAATATTTAAAATGGCAAACATGTAAGTAAATATCTACAAATATTATTCCCATGCAAGCCTTCAAATATATAAAAAGGCAACTCCTACCTCCATCTCCAGATCCGGATCCTGCATCTGGAGGAAAAAAGAAATATTTCGTTTTTGCTTGAAAAACATATTTAAAAATATTTATGACTTTTTTTTAGTTCATGTTTACTTTCTTCATTAAGACAATAATATAATTAAGAAAATTACTAATATTTAATCTGAAAATGTATATTCACATCAATTTACTTTAATTTAAAAGTTATCTATTACTTTCATACTTAAACTTTATGAAAGGATTATCTGGTTTTAAAATAATTCCTGAACTTGACTATGTAAAATCTCTCATACTTTTATTTTAATCAGGATAAATTTGGTGCCATTAACCAAAACAAAAAATTAAAAATGAGATGCTTGTAACAATCAGTGAAATTTAGAAATTAAACAGTCTAAGACATATAGCAAATAAACTATTCTTGCAAATTGCATGTACATAAAGAGAAAAATAGTTGAAAAATAAATATCTTTTTATATAATTGTTACTATGTATTTCAAATACCACAATTGTGAATGAGTCTATCTGCCACCAAGAGCATCCTTTGTTTTTGAAATCAGTAGAAGAGTGAGATTAACTTTGCCTTTGTGCTTAAAATTGAATACACCCTAGGTGATGCTCACAATAAAAAACAATCTCTCTTCTACATTTTTCTTTCTCCATTCCTTCTCTCCCCTCCTTCCTACATAATTACAACTGGTCAGAGTTGTCTGTTTCTTACAGTTCCCAGAAACACCCAATTTTCTAGTTGGAGTCAACACCACTGAGTTGCCATCTGCTTCCACCTGTTACGTGTAGACAATATCTTCCTTTGGCCTCCCTACTTCTTTCCAATCTAAATGTAGTTGGTTATGCATTTTTTATATTAATACTGGGATATAAGACTAATTCTGGCATTCTCTGTCTGAGGTACATGCATCTCACATTAAAATCTCAACCAGAGTTTAAGAACTATATCAAATGCCACTTTTATGAATTTGTTTGATGTTTTAGTCCAATTGAAATAAAACTACTTCTACTTGTTTGCCACTATGACACTTTACTGAGAGGCACTATATAGGAAGAGGCATAGAGTATGAAAATCCACAGTATGGAAGACTGGATGCCTCCTCAATAGCCTTCCTTGTCATGTTAGGCATTAGTCAGCCATGAAGGAGCAATAGTTTGTATTGCCAGCCTTGGTGGAAACTCATATTAACTAAATTCACAGGGTCTAACACTGTATAAAATTCAGAATGTCAAGTCTTTAACTGCTAATGTGACTAAGGCTTATGTCTCTGGGCCATTATATCCTTTCTTTAGAGACACTAGTTGGTAACAACAATTTACAATAAAAATCCTTCTTAGCACATTTAGAAAGTAAGGATTTTAATCATGTGATCTATTTAATGATAACAGATCAAAAAAGGCTGATGCATTCATCTCCATAGTAGAACAGTCCTGTCAACTTAACTGACAATCACAAGTCACGGCACCATCACTTTTGGACAAGACAGTGTTTGAATGGCCAATGTTTATCATCTCCTTTTTATATACCATCCCAACTAAAAGTTTAACTGATTTTATTTTAATTAATTTGAAAGCTTAATTCAGTATTATTCATAATAATCAGCAGCTAGTAACAGGTTATACTATTATAGCACTAAGACATTCTACCTGTGCTTTAGTTGAATGTGTAGTTTCTTACCCTTTTCCCACCAAGACCGTAAACTTCTTTAAATCAAGGTCCATGTCTTGTTCAGCTTTCTATACTTGCATGTGTATAAGAGGAAATGCATAAAAGCTTAAGGATTCCAAGCTCCAAACATTAGAACATTACTCATTGGAGGACATGAGGAATGTTATTCAACCTTCCTAAGCTTATTTGCCCTCTGCCCCACAGCTGACAGACACCCTAGGTGATCCTGAATTAGCAGATCCTGTCCTTAGTGCTCTCTGGTGTTTGCCTCCATCATTCTTGGTTTCTGGAGTCAGAGGTTTCTTTTCTCTTTTTTTCTTCCCTTCCCTTCCCTTCCCTTCCCTTCCCTTCCCTTCCCTTCCCTTCCCTTCC